TTCTGCTCAACGTGCAATTGAGCAAATAAGTCCTGTTTATCTGCGAAAATTTACGATTACCTAATGTAAACGCTGTAAGCAGATTCCTCCCAAGATTCCTCCCGCTACCCAACAAGGGTATGTCACGGTCACACAACGCCGAGCAACCTGAAGATACCTACGCGCGGCCCCCCGACGGTAGATGCAGCTGCGACAACGGACGGTTGGGCTTAGAAGACGGATGGATAGATGGATTGTATCAGTAGTAGTAGGACTGTCATACATGATTCCACGGACAATCATTTAATAGCACGAAGTCACGGTCAGAAATTCAGAATGAATGCAAGTGTGAAATCAAAGATTTCAAATGAGGGTGCGAGAACGACAAAGATGCATCAGAGTCGCACCTTGGTTCTGCAGGCCTCCCGTTGTGAATCAACGAGAAGGTGAGTGAAAATTTACAATTATTAGTAGATGTTGAGGGATATCCCGGCAGGCGCACGCGCCTGCCGGGAAAATTTACAAACTTTACAAACTTTACCGTAAATTTTTCACTGTCCCCGCACTTCACTCACTTTACCCACCAGAATTCGCACTTTACTGCACTTTACACTACCTCGCCTGTCCCTCCGCCCTCCCCATCCTACTCAGTTGCCATAAATGGTGACTTAGACAATATGGTCACATGACACATGATGTCTCTTCTCCGTCGCCTCCCATCTTCCTCGACGGTCGTTAACGTTGGCCCCCCGTATTGCACACACCCTTCCCCAGTAGCAAAATTTATAGGTAAGTGATCTTCCTTTATTGCTCGCTTACCCCGCTGACCCTGCGCCAGAATTCTCCTGTTCATCGTGAAATTGTCCTGGGTATCCTATTCACTCAGCCGCAACAGTCTACTAGTCAACAAGACAATCATCGTGAGTTCCTTTCGCATCGTTCTAATTCAAATTGGTGTTGACATATCGCAGGATGATGAGGTTAGTCAAAGGTACTTATATTCAGGGTGGCTTCAATGACATTCGAGTAGTACCACACCCATAACCGGACCTGCACCTTTTCAAAATCTACGAAGTTTAATGATCTTCCAGATGATATCAAGAGGACGTTGAAACTATCGAGTACGCTAATCATAAGTGCTAACATGTCCTAGGACTTACTTCGCATAGCTCGCACATTCAGGGATGTATACAAATAAGCAACGAGCTTAAACAGCGAAAAATGGGGGAAGAGGCGATCAAGGGCCAGGAGTTAATTCGCGAATTGCACAAGGTGCGCCTCATTTTATTGCATATATCCAGTATGTTTGGTTACCGACTTTATCGATTCAGGAGCTGCTTGGTGTATCCTCCGTTATTCAGTCGGACTCTCTTCTTCGCCAAGGACCTGAAAGTGAAGAACTGAACAAGCAGTTCAAGACACGATTGTCGCAACAACATCATCGAGGGCTTTAAAACCCGCATCAGAGCACAGCATATCTCAAGAATCATGCTTCGTTCCCTCTGGAGTATGTGTAGATCATCAATGTGAAGTAACTTGAAAGTGTTGACATGTTGCTGGCTAGATTCTTCACCCGTGTCACGCAAGAGATGCAGGAGCGTCTGCAGTGGTTCAAAAACATTATCGAAGTATGATGCCATATTTTTGGTAACACCCTGAAGTATTCTAATACATCGAATAGCAAATTGAGCGGAAACTATCCGCATCGGCATCCCAATCTCAAAATACACCCCAAGGTTAGACTTTCCTTCGCTCCACCCTCATCCTCAGCTTACATTTTGCTGTGTTGTCTTGACAAGACATCGAAGACTACCAAAACCTACGATCGACATCACGAGAGCCCATGAAATGTGAGTCGTGCTTTCGAAATCGTTTGGTTATGAGGACTCACATAGTCCCGTCATTCCAGCTACACTCTCTACCTACTGAGGATTGTGCTCTGTGCTAGCTAACCTCCTCGCATACGATTGACTTTGGCCGAAGAGATAGAATCGCTGGCATCGTCTCTTTTGTCCTTTGGATTCCCCTGTGTAGATATCTCTGCAGGGTGTCTCTCGCCACAATATTCAATCGCTTCAGTTCTGCTCGTGCGTCACCTTGTAAGTCAGAATTCAGTGTCCTAGATGAAAACCATCTCAGAATTGCTACGTGGCTCAATTTAGGTGCGCATGATAACATTACATAGATACTCTGAAGGGAACACGCCCATGTCAAATCCACAATGACTCGGTCTAAAGAGCTTCCTTGCACCTTGAAATCTGTGAATGCCATCCTGGCACAATTGGAAGTTGCGTACATCGAATATTGATTATTTTTTCACCTGTAGGATATCTAAAACTATTTGTCACAGGCAGAATGGGTACAACACCATGGTCCGAATCTCGACGGTCGTTAACGTTGCCCCCCGCATGGTGTGCTACTGTAAACACTGCGGTTTTGTGTGATTAGAAGGTACAATCAAACTTTTCAGCATACCTTTGACTGACATTCTCATCTAGAAACACTACTACTATTTGTCATATGATGATACTGCCTTGGATCATTGCCAGAGTCGTCTTTCGTGTAAGTCTTTGTTTACTTGTTCCTCCTTCAAGTTCTACTTGGAACATTCCATCATCTCTTCCCGAGCTGGCAGGCCTTCTGTAGGTGAACCAACTCGGTAGGTTGCGCATGTCCGGACAAGCCTTTTGTAGGTTATCTGGATGGTCCAGTGTGTGACGTACTCATACTCTGAGTCCCTTTGCTTTTTGAATCTGACTTGGGGCCGTTTTTTTAATGCTAATATTCATTTCAACCGCTTCAGCAGGAATCCGTTGGCTGGACCCAGTGTCCCATTCTTGGAGGGATGTCCAGCAATAAAGAACTTCTTCAAGGGTGCTTCTGTCACACTCGTCCACCAGTTTCAGACTGCCGCCCTTGCTGTTCTCAAGCAGAACGACGTTCATGCACCGGACCTCCGCCCAGATTCGCCACAGTTCAGCCAGTTGAAGAACTCCTTCAAGAGCGTTTCTGTCACGCTTGTCCACCAGTTTCAGACCGCCGCTCTTGCTGTTCTCAAGCAGAACAACGTTCATGCACTGGACCTCCGCCCAGAACTCCTTCAAGGGCGTTTCTGTCACGCTCGTCCACCAGTTTCAGACCGCCACTCTTGCTGTTCTCAAGCAGAACAATGTTTGTGCACTGGACCTCCGCCCAGATTCGCCACAGTTCAGCCAGTTCAAGAACACCTTCAAGGGTGCTTCTGTCACGCTCGTCCACCGGTTTCAGACCACCGCTCTTGCTGTTCTCAAGCAGAACGATGTTCGTGCACTGGACCTCCGCCCAGATTCGCCACAGTTCAGGCAGGGCATTTCTGTCATGCTTGTCCACCGGCCGGGCCTCGAAAATATCCAAGGATTGGTTGCCAATGCTGGAAACTTTGAGTTTGAGAACACGACGGTCAAGGTAGGTTTTCATACGAATCACATCCATAACAGCTTCTCTCAGCGCGAGTGCAGGACTACTTCAAGAAAGCTTGGGGTCGCGGCAGCAGCATCATGGTTCTGTATGCGCTAGTGTTTGGTTTGGCAGATGGTATCCTACGGTACTCACTCTTGTGCTCAGTATGTAGTTGAAATTCAGTGTGATGCTTTACTAGTGTAGTCTACTATGTGTTACGACAGTGCGGGTCAATCAAAATTGAGAGCCAAGTGAATTTTAAAACATGGAGTGACATCATACCCTCTGAAATTTCAGAACTGTCCCACCAATTACCTCTGTCTTGTGTTTTACCTCCCACATGGCACGATCAAAGAAGGGGGCATCAGACGTCGTTCAAAAGAAGCCGAGGCGGAGGAAAGAATCAGCTATCCTGAAGTCAGCTTGGCTGACATCCAGAAATGCAAGGAACTTGGAATTGAAACGCACCTCCAAGCAAACAAGACCAGGAGCAGCTATGCTGGCCATGTACGCCGGGGACGCGAGTGGCTCGCGAGCCATTTTGATGCACCAAGCTGCTCCGCTGACGAGGGGGACTGCTCAGTGCCCAAAGAGCCTTTGGTACAGCCGGTGGCACTGTCAGTGCCCTCTTTCGTTAGAGACAATCCAGACAGCGATGTGTATGCAGATCCTGCCTTCAAAGATGCGTTCGGGTGCACGCCAAACCGATGCTCCGACAAGGCGCTGGCCCCTTCATGTCCCTGAAGGGGTTCCACGAAAACCTCAGCAAGAACACGGTCGAAAGTATCCGCGCAGCATTCAAAAAGCTCTGGGAGCAAGCGTGAGCAACACCCTGCAGGACCAGTACAGACTGAGAGTACTGACTTGTACCAGGGATGGCGGCACGTTTCGTGGAAAGTGGAGTTTCAATGAGGCGAGACAACACTGGGAGGGAAATCCAGCCGACTCAGCGGAAGTTTACGACGTGATGGCATCTGTCAAGCACAAGGCCAGCGCAGAGGGCGGAGATCGAACTCACTCGATGGCAATGACAAAAGACTTCATGGATCGCATGCTCCAATGGCATGAGGCCGCATGCCCACTGGAGATCGCACTGCAGGCCATCCAGCTAGTGATGAGCGGCACACTGCCTTCGCAGGTCCAACTGACTCTCGACACAAGGACCCAGCTCACTCGCCATCTTGAACAGGTCACTTTCGATGCTGGCGCATGGACCTTATGGAGCAGGTATTGTCCCGCCTGCCGAAATTGATGTGCGCTCGCTGACTTACCATTTTGGTAGGTGCTTCGAACTCGTGAAACTGCAGCGCAAAGACATCTCGCTCGACACAATCCTGCTGGACACCGTCATGAAAAAGTATCTGGCACGCGAGCCACTGACACTCAGCGACAGCAACACCTATTTTGAAATATTCCTCTCGAACCGAAAAGGATGGCAGAAAAGGGTCGATAAGGGCATCTGCGAGGCAGACCTTAGGTGTGAGTTGATTCAGATTAGCATGAAGTGACGCCCTGCTGATGTAGCAGTGTATGTGCCTCACACCAGCCAACCACTACAAGATATTTCCCCGCCCAGACATGCCTTCCTGCGACAGCTTCATCTGGATGTTGCTCTGGATCAAATGGCTCGAGTTTTTTCATTATGGGCGCACACTCGGGCCAAATGACTTCATCTTCCCTTCGATGGGTGCCAATGGCATCATGCAGCCTGGACAGCCTCTCTCCCATGACACTGTGCAAAAGTGGATTGACGAGGCAACGACAGGTGCTGGCATCCTAGGCTGTTTTTCGACTCACTGCTTCCGCCGTGGAGGTGCCCAGTATTGGTTTATGTTCGCACCGGTTGGTCAGCGGTGGTCACTTGCCATGGTTCGATGGTGGGGAGGATGGGCTGATGGTGAACAGGTATGTGCCTTCAATGATCTACTTTTTTCTCGCTCTCACTCGTTCATTCTATTCCCAGCGAAACACGCTCATTCGTTACCTTCTCGACGAACTACACACCTATGAGACCGACTACAGTGATGCCCTCGCTCCTTTCTCCCGCGAAGCTGAATCCTCCCTTGCAGGCAAGCAGGCACTCATGAGGCCAGCATCCACTGAGGAGCTGCGCATGGTTCATGCATCCGTGACCGCAGATGTCAATCGTTTGCGAGTTGACGTCAGTGCAGTCAACGACTCGCTTCGGTCACTCACCAGCATGGTCCAGGCCACTTCAAGTTGCCTGAAGGCTGCTGGACACCTACCTCCAACACAGCTCGAAGAAGATCCCCGCTTCACCCTTCTCCGAGTCTCCGCATCTGGCAGTGCAGAGTCTCCTCAGATTTCAACTCCTCGGCATGTCCATCCACCACCAACACACTCCCGTCCTCTGTCATCTGTCCGCAGGAGCCATGGCCACGCACACATCACTCCAACTACTCGACCACTGCCATCTGCTGCTGCGCACACAGCCTCGACTCAACAACTTCCAAGCAACGGTCTTGTCATTCCACGGCTGCCACTCGTCCGTTCGAACGGGTTGAAGACTCCGAAGGCCGAGTCCTGGAGGGACATCATCACGCACTGGCTCGTCGGTGACCCCGACAGAGGGTTGAAGACGCCACTCAAGGACTGGCCGCAGGAGTGGTACCAAGGCCCGAACCGGAAGCTCGCAATGCAGTACCAGAACAGGGCCGTTGTTGCGCGCGAGTTCATCAACCAGTGAGTGCTTCCGGCTGCGATCCACACGTCGGCGCTCACACATTCTTTTGTTCTTTCTTCCTCGTCACCTCCAGTTACCAGTCAGACGAAGCCCTCTTCCTTGCAGCCTACCCAGAAGCCGAGCGGGGACACACCCCACTGCTTGCAGCCGTCAACAAGGCACGGGCTGCACGAGGAGAGCGTGTCCGTCGCAACAAATGACACGGAGGACTCTCACTTCGGAACCATACCAACTACTGCCACCCACTCGAACGCTCGTAACTTGTAAGTACTATAACCACGAATCACTTCATATTGCAAAGGCCACATGCCA